CGAACTCGGAGCTGAAGCAGGAAAAGAAGAGAGCATGCAAATTGAGGAAATGGACAATTTTAAGTATAAGACTTTTCGGAACAAGGCGTTTCGGAACAGACACTTTTGGGCCACTTTGACCCTCGGTCCGGGCGAAAACGGAGACGCCAGCTAGTTTAGTAAAAGTAGTAATGGCTTCGTCCAATTATTCTATTGGAAATGTTTTTTTACCTAGTCTAGTCGTCCGCGTAATCCGCGGAGAGTGCTCAAAATATGTATTGCGCGTCACTCTTCTTTCATCGTGCACTCTCGCCGCCTGTTTTCTCTGCGCTTCTTCCAGTCGTGAACTATTTTCAATGGACGCAACAGCGTTGCTCTTCGTGGGCAGCGTGGACGGCCTATATTTGTATGCGGGTTGAAGTAATCCGCGGCTGCGGCGTCGCAAACAATACGGTCGTTCGATCATGTGGGTATAATAACCACCCAGGTTTGCCGCGCCGAGCACTTTGCGGAAAGTTGCTGGGCTCACTGAACCGCCACAAGACCGATGATATCGTAGTTATGTACAAGCAATTTTGAATCGTTTGAAAGTTTAAACGCTAATGTTTGAGGGCTGTAAAACTGCTCTGACATGTTCTGCGCTGTCTGCAATAGAAATTGATGGTCAAGATTTGCTTAGCTTCTTCATCAAAAAAAACATCCTAGATTACAATTTGAAACAGTATAACCATGCTCGATGTGCCTAGCAGGATTCATCCTACAGTTTTTGCACCGTAGAAAGCTGGCAGAGCCGAATAGTAGCTATAGTATCAAGTATGACAGAATTTGAATACGTTTCACATATCCTTAAGTTATTTGTAATTTAATGTGAGCTTGCATACAACGCGCGGAAACTGACGTCACCCTTACCAATGACTTCTTACAAGGGAAGTTTGCCGAATCGAAATGGCCGATTGATACGTGGTATACACCCGGACGCGGGGCTCGGGAGGTTAGTATCAAATGTGCGCCCCTTAGCTGCGACGCGTTATTGTGAAGCAAGTTATGGCCCTCTGAAGTTTTTGGCGTGTGCATGTCTAGAGTACGCACAAATGCTCCGATTGTGGTCGTGTGGTGTAGTGGTTAGCGTCTCGGACTTACAGGTAACCGGTGAGGGTTTGAATCCTGTTGCTGTCCACATGTTTTGCGTTCTTCTCAAAATTCATTTTTTACCTGTTTTATGCATTACTGACGTAAAATATGACACATACGGGTGGTTAAACTCTACTAATTATACCGTGCCGTGTCATTCTCACAAGGTAGCCCATTAACAAGAATCAATAGTTCGACGTGATACAACTTGGAGATTGTCACGTAAATACTACGTGCAATCGAAGAAAGTATGTGGGAGTGAGGATTTGGCAAACCTTCAAAGTCAATTGAAAAGCCGTCGCTAAAAAGTTGTTGCTATGTTCTACGAAAATCTTACATATGAAGCATTGGTCGAATTTTCGTGAGAAAAATCATTCCGTAACCCGTTTGTGTCATTTTTTACCTCAATAATACATAAAACAGGTAAAAATTGATTTTTGAGAAGAACGCAAAACATGTGGACAGCAAAATTATTCGAACCCTCACCGATCACCTGTCAGCTCGAGACGCTAACCACTACACCACCCACAATCGGAGCATTTGTGCGTACTCTAGACATGCACACGCCTTCAACTTAACTTGCTTCACAATAACGCGTCGCAGCTAATGGGCGCACATTTGATACTAACCTCCCGAGCCCCGCGTCCGGGTACATACCAGGTTTCAATCGGCCATTTCGATTCGGCGAACTTCCCTTGTTACTAAAACATGTTCCAGCGCAACAATGTGTAGAATGCACCACTAACCGGCAGCAGGCGAAACATATTGAGTCAAATTGAAAGAGACAAGAAAGCAAGTAGAAATAGTTGAAATAAGCAGATTTCAACAAGTTACAATTGAATCGAGGACATTTAGAGTTTGTGGGGTTTTTATTTTATCGTCGCTTTCTGGTTAAAGGCAGTGGCTCGGCAAATCTGAACATCTTGTTTCATTTGGTATGTTACTTATCATCAATTAAGAGAGTAAGTCCTGTCGCATAACAAGTCTTCCGTTGCCAAGAAAATTCCCCTCAAACCCATGCGCGCTCGAATGAGTTCCCGATTTTCTTTTACGTTGATGGCGAGATGCCGATTTCAGGTTCAAAATGAAGGATACTGGGAAAAGCTCGCTTTCGCCATTTTCGCGCTATGGTGGTTTTTGCAGGTGTGCTACATTCCTCTAACGAGGGAATGGTCAGAATTCAAAGTGGTCAATACAAGCAAGCTGTTAGAAACTGCAAATATTATGTGCAGCATAAAACGCTGACTTTAAATCTGTATTCCATATCTGCTTAGCGCCTTTCGTGATAAGTTATGTGCAGGTTTTATTGCTAAAATATCGCACATAAAATTTGCGAAATTGAGCACATTGTTGCACTTTCAGTTTACCTTTAGGCTTTAAGGATATAAAGTAACCTTACTGCATATTTGACCTAGGTGTAAGCCGAACATGGCTCTATACTGCCAAATTTGCGCTTTGCATCACGATTTCTTAGCAATATAACGGCCATGAGCGGCTCATAACGTCGCTTACATAGGCGCTATGCGGATATGAAATATAGGTCGAAGTCAGCGTTTTTTGGTGCAATTAATGTTTGCAGCTTTTTAGATCGGCCACTTCGACGTATTTGGTCCGTATCTAAAAAATCTCCTTTTTATAAGCAGGCGAGTAGCTACTAGTGAGCAAGTGTGATGTACTACGCCACATTGACGCTAAAAAAAGTCTCATTGATATAGAGCTACGAGCCACTAAAAGTCGTCACATTACGTGCTGCTTTCGATCGCTGCAGCTAAAGGCATTGCCCAGGTCAACTGGGGGGTGGTGGGATTTGACGCAGTGCGGGAGAGCACGGCTTCTGACTAATGCAGCAGTAAGTCCGATTAAAAATGGATTCTGAAGCGAGAAAATCGCTGCGGAAAAAAGGAGCGGTCCGCCAATCACGCCTCCTTGACAGGTTTTGATGTGGTAGTATCTTAGATCTACAGCATTCGCCACGTTAAAACTTGTCAAGGAGGCGGGATTGGCGGCTCCATTTTTTCCGGAGCGATTTTTTCGCTTCAGAATCCACCTTTTTTAATCGGACTTGAACTGTTGCATTAGTCGGGAGCCGGCACCCGCATGGCGTCAAAATCCCACCACCTCCAATTGACCTAGATAATGCCTTTGAGTTCGAGCATTGAAGGAGCCCTTTTATATGCACCACTAGCTGGCTTACCCGGCTCCGCCGTATCCGGACCAAACTTGGCACACATACACTTCGGGCCCCGGCGGGTGTCACAGTCCACTTTTCGTTATCGATCGATGTCGATTTTACCGATTTTTATCGATTTTTTTGCAGAGTTCACCTACAGGGCTAGGAGTTGGCACAGGGGAGGAAGTGAGCATGGGGATTCCGAATACAACATTAGTTTTCAGGATCGTCCATTACTTTTATCGATTTTATCGATTTTTTTGCAAAGTTTGACCTGCGGGGCTGGGAGTTTGCACAGGGGGGTAATCGAGCATGCTGATTACGAACACAATATTAGTTTTCAGGATCGTCCATTACTTTTATCGATTTTATCGATTTTTTTGTAAAGTTTGACCTGCGGGGCTGGGAGTTTGCACAGGAGGGTAATCGAGCATGCAGATTACGAACACAATATTAGTTTTCAGGATCGTCCATTACTTTTTCGATTTTATCGATTTTTTGAAAATTTGAGCTAGGGGGCTGGAATTTGGCACAGGAGTATAATCGAGCATGCTGATCACCAAATTCCAGCCCCCTAGCTCAAACTTTGCAAAAAAATCGATAAAATCGATAAAAGTAATCGATAATCCTGAAAACCAATATTGTATTCGGAATCCCCATGCTCGATTACCCCCCTGTGCCAACTCCCAGCCCCGTAGGTGAACTCAGCAAAAAAATCGATAAAAATCGATAAAATCGATGTCGATCGATGACGAAAAGTAGCCTATGACACCCGCCGGGGCCCGTAGTGTATGTGTGCCAAGTTTGGTCCGGATCGGTTCAGAAATGGAATTTTCTATTCGGAACATACGTACACACAGACAGACAGACATACAGACAGACAGACATACATACAAACAGACATTCAGCTTTATATATAAGATAGTCACGTATCTAAACACTTGTTCATCACTCATATAGAGGCCTGCAGGATCGCAAGAGTCGGCCATTGCGCCGCGCACGTCAGATGCGCGTCCGACGACTCAAATAGGTGCCAGACTTATCCTGTTCTACTGGCTCATTCGGTTCACCACCTTTTCTGTTGGACAGTATAGTGATTTGACCTGTGAACCATACGAACCGGTTGAAGCAGATAAGTCTGGCACCTGCGTCAGTGACACAGACGTGCGCGGCGCAATGGCCGTACGCATGTCCGACTCTCGCGATCATTCAGGCCCTTATAACAATTTTGGATTAAAGCCATCCTAATTTTCGTATGGAACGGAACACGCCAAAATAAAATTTTCGGTTTTCAAACTTGCGTCAACAAAGATCATTAGATTTTTTCAAGGTGGACGTTTCGTCATGAGAATACAAGGCAAAAATAAAAAGCTACGAACTTCAAACAATCTAAATTGACCGTTTACTAGCTTACTTCCATGCATAAATTTAAAGATAGGTCAACATCTCACAAGTTCCAACGGTAACCAAAGACCTTTCGATTGGATGCGAGAGATCAAACGACTTGTCTATTAATTGCAAACTTTACATTGCTGTCGCAATTATATGCATGTTAGTGAGTAAAAGAGTAGCGATCAATTCAACTTATTGTTTTACAGAGTTATCACTACGTCAGTGGTATGCAGCTAAATGATCGCGTTGGCTAAGTAATATTTCAATATAAAAAGGCGAGTGGAAATTCATTAGCCTGAAACTTTCTGCGTTGGATGCGTTAGCTCACCTTGTTCTTTCGTGAGTCCGATTTCAGTCTGGCTTCTACATTCTTCGAAGAGTCCTTAGAGGCAAAGCTTCTCCACCTTGCTTTCAGACTGAAGTGAAATATTGAACGCGGCCTCTCAAAACGAGATTCATGCATGCTAGTATGGTCTCCGCGAGGACCAAGATAAGATAAGTGCTAAGCTTGCAGCTAAGAAGCAATGCGTGATGTAGAGGATAGTTTGCTAGACTAAAGTTCATAAACTTTGGGTTCTAGTACTCTTCCTGTTGATTTGTTTGTAGAGTTTTTTCAGAAACTCTACAAACAAATCACCTAGGTCCCGACATGTCCTTTGTTTTGGAAATTGCCAAAAGAAGACTTCTCAATCAAAAATCAGTCACGTCATCTAGGCAAACAACACTCAAAAGGGAACAAAGTCGTGTTGTGATTAGTGTAATGTTCAATCAAAGTTTCTAAAACAGAGAAGAGCGATTGAGCGCAGCGTATGAAAAATAATTCTTTACAAAAGCCAGAAAATGAGCTAAAGTCCGATAAATCGCTCAAAAGTTGTATTTCTTTTACTGTTAGTCAAGAAAAATAATTTGGCTACGTTTCTAGTTCCTTAAACATTTAAAGACGTTTTCTCAGCTTAATTATTTTAGACCAGAGCGTCACCTCTGCATCGTGGAGGTTCGCACTGGCTCTACTATCCGTATGTCTTCATCGTGATCGCATAACAAAGACTTTAAAACTCACCGCGCAAAGCTGAAAATTACAAATGAATTGTAAACAAGTGCTCATTCTCAAAGCTTTTCCATGTAGAATAGGTGATTTTGGCTTTTCTGCAGAAGAATGCGAGTTTGAATAAATCACTGAATTTATTTTAATGTTGTTGCTCCCGTAAAGGGCCGGGCATACATCACTCACGCGATTTCAACGCCGTGATTTCTGGTCGTCGCGATTTGCTGCAAGTAGCGACGAAGTCGCGAAGACTAAATCGCTAGTTGCTTGTTCATGGGCATAATCTTCTGCGGCGATTCACGCATCCTCTTACTTGAGCACATGATATACCTTCGTAAACTACTTATAAGTATTTGTATTACATTCGGCTTGATTTTTCATTTGTACTTTCATTTTGTAGTCCAGAATCAATTCCAACCGCAGGATCACATTAAAGTTTGACTCTTTTCCAGTCCCTGGACCTCACTGTTTCAAAGTCGCCGATTTTGCTCAAACTTGGTTCAAAGGGTTTATTCGACCCACTGATGCCAAATATCATAATCATTTTGCTTGGTAAAACGACATTTTCTGGGGTTACGTTAGGAACACGTAAGGGGACAAAAATATATTTTGCTGAAATTCCGTCTAGAGAAGTTATTCAACATGCTGAACACAAAAATCATACATCGCGATTTGGGGTTGCGGAGTACAGCGGAGTTGCGGTGAGTATATGGTAGGTGTCAAAGTCGTAGTTTGCCTGAATCTTTGCGCAGTGAAGTTATTTGATGTTCTGATCACGAATATTGTGGTCGTTTCGCATAATGAACTCTTTACCAGATTTTTTATATCTAAATTGACCCAAGAAAAAAATGCTGATTGTTGTTGTGTTTGACACAGATTGCAACAAAATGGCGCTTTTCTGAGCAATCGTCATGATAATCATGTTCAGCGCGCCAAGGAACCTCCTCTCCCACAACAAATTTAGAGCGAATCCGCGATTTTGATCCTCCACCGTATACACATGATGGCCCCAGAAAATGGCGCTACCGCACAAAATAACAATTATTCGGCACAGCGGGTCGAATAACCCCCTAGACCGAGTCTAAGCGAAATTCACGACTTTGAAATTTTGGGTCATGCATACCGCCAAAAATGGATACAAGAGGATCGAATTACGGAGAAGCAAAGCACTCTGGCAAAATAGAACTATTTTTGAAATAGTAAACAAGAAAACAGCTCAAAAGCTTAGAAACAATCATAAAAACTTCCAGAAAAGAAGTCCAAGTTAGCGGCGCGATATCGCTGAGATTTGGGCAAATCGCGACGATTTCAGAGAAGAAAGTATGCCCGAGGAAAAAATGGTCAGCGATTAGCCGAGTAACTATCACAACCAAAACGCAACTCGATCGGAATGCAATGAACCTCTATCACTTGTCTTGCCAGGAGAATCACGAGGCGACGAAATCGCGTGATTTATGCTCGGCCCTTAAAGACAATAAAAAACCATGGGCTACATTTCTGTGCAAGAAATTTTCAGTTTAGGTAAAATCTTGACTAATAGGCTATTTACGCAACCAATCCTTTTGGCGCTGTTTTAGCAGAAAAACAGAGCTTTTATTTATTTATTTATTTATTTATTTATTACATACGCTCTAGGCGTTCCTAAAAAAGACGAAATTTTGGTTCAAAAAGCTTTTGAGCACTTTTTGAACCAAAATTTACAGCACGCAGATTTATTTGCCAGACAAATGCATGACGTTGCAAAAAGTCGAATCAGCGATCCAGTTTTGTGTGCCAAAAGCAATGGACCCGATCTAGGTGTCATTTTCGAAGGACTCGCATCGGGTCCATTCGCCATTGCGCGAGGTGAGTCTAGACGCTGCCAGCAAGTACTGTGCAAAAATTTGGCCTAAGACGTATCCTGCAGCTCGGTCTACGATTTTCGTTACCTCAGACAAATGACCGGAACTTCCGCAGAGCGCTTGCGATCCGCCGGGTCACCTACGGAAGTTCCGAAATGAGGTCGGAAGTTCCGAAGAATGCCAACCACAACAGCAAAAGAGAACACCAAAGCGAGATTTGAACCTCACTCTATTGACTGTGAGACCCACCTACTATCCTTTACGCTACGGCTGACATGTTCGATAATGCACTCTAATTGTTGGCGAGGCAACATCACGAGACAACATTCAAAGTCCTGCGGAAGTTCTGGCAGGCCAAAGTGCTGCGGAACCTCTGGCATTTTTCGGAATCTCCGCAGGATTTCGAAGGGAGATCTGCGGAAGTTCCGTTTTTCAACCAGTTTGGCATGAAAATCCCGCGGAAGTTCCGATTTTCAACGTTTTCATTTTTGCAATAGTGAACAAAATCCTGCGGAACTTCTGCAAATTTGGCTTGTCCTGCGGAAGTTCCGGTGATTTGTTTGAGACAGGCAGGCATACAACACACGCAACAAAAAGACAGACGCTTAGCACTTTATCATAAATCAGTGCTTCACCTCTGCTTCGCAGAGGCTCGCACTGGTTCCTCTATCTATATGCCTTCCTCTTGCTTGCATGATGTTTCTCTGAAACTTATGCGATGCTGACCATCATGAACGAATTATAAACAACTACTCATTCCGTGACCTTTTCCATGTAAGAGCGGTAAATTGGGAAGAGAAAATTTAGAAGATAAAAGAGAATTTCGGTCAGTTACTGAAGCTATTATGGTCAAGTAGTTTCCACAAAAGTTATTTACTTCCGTCAACCGCATTTCTGATCAGAAATCTTCGCACATAATTAGATTAAACCTTGACAAAATGATGATCTACGCAATTACTTTTTTTTGGCTCTGACTTTGCGTAAAAATAGATATTTTGCTCACTTTTTGGACTTAGGTCTATGGTCTGCGTATTTACTTGTTAAACAAATCCGCAACTTCTCAAAAAGTACAATCATCGACCCATATTGGTCGGCCAAACGTCGCGTGGACCCGTTTGACGAACAGTTTTCAAAGGTTCCAATTATCGGATCCACTTGTGCTTTTGCACTGCTTACCTACACGCTGATAGGGTGCTATGACCAAAATTTCAGCTCAAGATCTTGATTGTGTTGCGTAAGTCGCGTACGCCTGCACTTCGCGCAGTTTGGCCCAACCCTTGCGGTCGCGTAAGTTTTCGTCTCAAAAGCCACCAGCTTGGCCCAAGACTAGAACATGATACTTGAAAATATGCGGCAGAGTGCTCAAAAATTAGAAATTGTGCTTTATTCTACTCTGATTCTTTTACTAATTGAGTAGAGAGGAAGGACAAGTACGAGATCGTTCATCATGTGCATAGTGCTGTGAGTTTCTTATTCATAGGGTTGTGAGCACAAGCTAATCAAGCTATATCAACTCTATGCAGGACAAATTTCGTTGACTTGGTATTCTTTTCCGTACGGCAGGTCTTTCTTTGAGCATGTAACTCTGACTCGCTGCGAAATGTGGACGAGAAAGGGGTACGCGTGCAATGAGAGAAATCGAGCTTTGATTTCCAAAAAAATAGCAACGGCTAATTAAAATGTATGAAAGCTCACTTTTTTGTTGCGAGCATCAGTGAAACATAGGCCAACAATAGTGACCGAGAATGAAAATGATTCACTCTCTTTGCAACTTTCGATTCAAATGCTTATCGCCCTTTCCAGTAATTGCTGTCAACATTGTGTCGAATTACTCACCAATGGGGCAGACGGACACCTTGCTATACTACCGAAAAAATTGCTATCGCCAAAGCAGAATCTATCAATCTCTCCATCTCGATTAGGCGCTGTCTTACCGCTATAAGTAGTGGAAATTTCCGGAACCATCGGGGAAATACGTCCAGAATCTTGGCAAAAATTAGCAGCCAGTTAGCCGTTAAGCTAATGCGCAGCACTATTTTCAAAAATAAGTCTTGTCTTTTCAACTTGCTTTGAATAGTTTTTAACACGTTTTTCCCCGTTTTCGTGATTTTCTTTCGCGTTCTTGGTTTCTACGTCGCTTGTTTTCCTTCTTCATTCAGCTACAACACTGCGGATGCAATCTTAAGTCATTATCATCTAACTGCTTCAGAAAAGTACTGCTAAGTGCCTTTCAATAGAGCTGAGCGATAAGCGAGCATACGATAGCTTTACTTGGACATTCCACATCGAGTTAAATATCGGCATACTCAAGGTACCGATGTATAGTTGAAAAAATCTCAAGTATTTTCGTCTATATGTATTTCTATATTCTGTTTTAACTTCTCATGTCTCTATCTCACAGGAGCGCCTCTTGATCGTTGCATTTTTTGGGATCCTCTCTTCTTGCGTTCCTACCTTGCTTCTTTTCAAGCTGATAAAACACCTCGAATTCATGTGAGTTTGCGATCGGTTGCAAAATGGAATCTAGCGCAGTCCATTACCCTGATCATGCGCTCATTTGCAAACTTACCTTAATTGTGATTGCAGCATCAGGCCTAAGGCATACCTCACGCGATTCGGCCGAATCCCCACTTTCACGCAACTTGGCGATTTGCCAGATTTCCATAAATTTATCGTGCGCACTTCTCGGACGCATATTGGGTAGCTTACCTGACTAAAGGCAGCGCGTTAACGACGAATTACGAAGAGTCGCTGTTGTGCCAAATCGCGCAGCGACCGGAATCGCGCGAGGTATGCCTTAGGCCTCAGAGTCTCTCCAGGCGTGAAAGCCATTTTTCTCATCTTAAACACTTCTATTAGGTTGCAAAGAAAGTTCCCGGGCACTTGCGAATTTTTTTCAAATCGCTGTAATTTTGAGCAGATTGATTCTTTTTTAAGCTACTAACTTCATTGCAAAGACATTTTGTCCACAACATATATATGTCCTACTGGCTTTTCAGCACCTCACTGCGGCACTGCGGTCCACCAACGTGGGCAGAAGGAAAAAAGGTCGTCGCGGAAAGTGGCATGTTTGTGCAAGATTATCTCAGGCACGATGAAAGCTGGAGAGTTCAAATGCTTAATTATATAGAAGTCTGTTGGCGTTGTTATGGTGTTGGTGGTTGGTATCCGACCGGGCGCCGAAAAATGCGTTTTAAAATGAAACTTCCAAAAGTGTCCGGGAACTCCCTTTACAACCTAATATTACAGCATTTATGGTTTAGTGCCAGCGCAATGTTCTGCGTTTGCAGTTAGCTGTGTCTCTTATCTGCTGGTTTCCGCTTCGTGGCTTTTTGAAAAGACGTGGATTTGCTAAGGAAGTGAGCTAGGTTGCGATGGTGTAGCCCCAACGGTGCCTCTCAGAGAGTTGAATCTCTCACAACTCAGATAATCGCCGGGGGCAGGCGGTCCGCAAACTTGCGCTTTTCTGCAAGCGGTCGGCAAAATTTTGGGGCGTGGCCAAACCTTTAGCGAGCGGTAATTCCTATTCTGCCAGCGGGCAGCATTACAAGATTTTCTGCGGGCGCTCGTCAAATAATTTCTTTCAGCGAGCGCTGGCCATAAATCCAGCGAGTACTCGGATCTTTTTACGCAGTTTCGGGCGTACGCCGAGAAAAGGTGAGATATGGCATCTCTATCTGGCAGAGAGTCATCGATGGTTTTATTACCCAAGTGTGGGGTACCTTCTTCTAGCGAAAGGTACCCTAGGCAGTGCGGTCCTTCACAAAGGACCGTGCAGCCCACAACAATTTTTCGTATTCTTGAGGAATGTCCGCGAGAATGCGGCCAATGCGCCGCAACTGATCTACAGAAAACGGGTACTTCTGCGAGCATTCTTCTGAAAATTGGCCAGCAATCTTCCAAATTCTGCAAGCGGACCGCAAGAAATCAGCGAACTATTTTCCGGTGCCCGCCCGCCCATAAATCGTTTGGCCGCCTGCCCCGGCGATGGTCTGAGAACGTGAGTTATCGATGTATCCAGATAGCTTATATGCCGTTATGCGTCAAGATTCTCGTCATATGCCGTTATGCGTCAAGATTCTCGTCGAGTTTAGTTTAATTATGTATCTGTTCCGCAGGAATGCCTTTGCACTCCAAGAAAAATGATCTCCTCGATTCCGGTCTCCAACTTCTATCATTACTTTTAATAATGGGCTAGTTTCAGTGCGTCTGTTAGGAAATTCATAGAGCGGATTCCAGCCAACGTCCTGGCTCAAATTTTGCACAGCGCATGCTACTGGAATGAAAGTCCAACATGCAAGTACGAGCATTCGTTGAGTGGAACGCTCAGAAATTGCGCGTCAAACGGATCCACTTGGCTTCTGGCCGCAAAATTGGGTCCGCAATTCCACTTTTTGCAGAATCGTAGATGTGTAAATGTGCTAGCCATGAACTTAGGCCCAAAAAGTGATCAAAAGTCCATTAGATACTTAGATACTTAGATGGCTCGGCCTCCTTGAAGTGCGGGCCCCAGCACAAAAGTTCATCGGTCCCTGTCCCTCGCTTCAGACATCCACGATCTTCTTGGTTGACGTCGGTGGCTGCGTCCAGGAGTTCCAAGTGCAAAGATCTTATCTAGCTGATTTCTCAGCTGGTCCATCCGTTCCACGATCACTTCTGCCCATCTTCTTGGAGGTCTTCCCCTCAGCTTCGCGAGGAATCCGCTCCGATGTTCTTAGTGTCCATCTGTCGTCTGTTCTTCTCATAATGTGATCGGCCCATCGATGCTTCGCTTTCGCAACGTAATCCGCTGGGTCAAGAAGACGGGACATTCTTCTCATATCCGTACTGTGAAGTCCGACAGGATGTTGCTTGTGTCGGGTCATCTTAAGGTCGCTCTAGCGCTCTGTAGGTGGTCCTTGAAGCTTTCGACGTGGCTACCGTGTCGGACCAAGTCTCAGCTGCGTAACAGAGCGCCGGGAGAACGGTTGAGTCGAACAGGTGGGCACGGAGCTCCAGGTCCGTCAGTTGGTTGGTGGCTTCCTTCAGAGGCCCGAAGGCCCAGGCTGCTTTTCTTTCTGTTAAGTTTTTCCCTCAAGTCGTTCTCCATGTTCATCGAACTTCTGAGATACACGTAAGAAGACGTCTCCATGATAGGGGAGCCTTCCAATTCCATTTCTGCATCTTCACAAAGGGCGCCCTTCATGAAGTGACTCTTCTTCCGACTTATTCGCAATCCTATCTTCTTCCTTACTTCGCTCATTTCCTTCAGCATCGTTTTTCAGTGAAACTGGTTAAAAAAAACGATGTCGTTCGCAAAACTAGGGTTAGACAGAAATCTCCCATCAACTCATATGCTTCTCTCGTCCCAGTGAGTAATGTTTGAAACTTTTTGTTCTATTCTGTTTAGAAAAAAGCTTTTAATTCAGAGGCAGGCATTTTTGGAACCAAAGTTTCATGCAATATCGCTTTTGCTTTTTTTCTCCCGAGAGATTGACAGCATCTGCAGCGCTCTATGCATCCATTTCTTAATGAAAAAATGGTCGGAACTCAAATTCAGGCATTTCAAACAAAGTGTATATCATCCTTATCGCTTTTCTTTATTGGAAAACTGATATCTCAAAAGGATGTTTATTACCTGATAAGCCCACTGTCTGGAAAGAAGTTATGTGCGTTTGAAAGTGCGGATTTATCGAACATTGAGGGAAATGTTCCGAAAAGGGAGAATATCTCAGAAATAGTTACATAGGTTTTTGGTGGATGTACTCATTCTTTAGGTTTGAAAGAGTCATAATCACTGTAGTACATCAGGCTGCCTTTCAACAAACTTCATTCATTGAGCCTAAACAAGTTTTCCTATTCGAACAATCATAACTCCTTCCAGAAGTCGCTTAGCCGACAATAATCATAGCAGTGGGTCACGTCTGCTTCGCAGAGGCTCGCTCTGTTACAATTATTATCTGTTTCAGCTATCCACATGCCCTCTTCGTGATCACGTGATGTTTGGCAACCCACTGCTCACAATCAGACATTCGCGGTTAAGTCCCGCTGGTGAAAACCTAGTGCCCCGACGGAATGACTGCAAGACACAAGAAAAATGATTCGCAGAAAACCGTGACTCCTGCATTTCGTTCGGGATAATGCTGCGCGACACACACGTTGTCCCAAAATAAGTTTACTGAGAAAATAGGGAGCTCCTGCGGGAGAACCCATAGACCTCAATCATGAGCGGTGCTGATCATTACGAATATACTGTTAGTAACTGTTCATTCTAGAAGCTCTTCATGTATGATCGGTAACTTTAGGAGAAAGAAAGTCTCCTCGAAAAGATTATATGGATGTATGAATCTACTGAAGTTATTATGGCTTGGTAGTTGCCATTAAGACATCTCAGAGCAGATATGTTTTGAAGTTAACAGTTAAAACCTTGACAATTCGAGCAACTATTATTCGTTTTTTGGCGATGCTGGGTAAAAAAAAAACGATTTCGCGTATAATAGAGTTTTTGCTCACTTTTTGGGCTGAAGTCCATGATCTGCGGGTTTACTCGTTGAACAGATTTATTTTATTTATTTATTTATAAGCTGCACTCATAGGTGCACCGAGAAAAGATTGTAGAGCAAGACATCCTGAACATGGCAATCACGTTCTCGCGGTGAAGTAAGAGCAAGTAAATCGTCCTAGGGTGGTCAGATCGTTCTCCATCTGCGGTGTGACGTGCTAGACCGAAATCCTGATCCCTATCCCGAACGCAGGTTTGAATAAAGGAACTAGAGCTCGGATGACC